GTGGCTCAGGCCATGCTCTCATCTCAAGTGCCTGTGATTCACATTCTCGCTGACAGAGCTGTGGTCACCCAGTTTTTCCTTCACCAGCAAAACGAAGCCAGCAAGACACGCCTGGGCGGCAGGCGGGGCTTCCAGGACCACTCGCAGGGACTGCCCAGAGGGATTCCTTAAGCTAAGAGTTTCTCCCTGTTGGAGAACAATTGACTCCATCCTGCCGCCCTCCCCGGCCCCTGGGCCCCTCCCTGCTGCAGCCAGGTGGCTCCCCTCACCCCATCCAGCCTCCTCCTCTTGTCCATCTGTCTCCCCAGCTGGGGCAGACATGTTGCAATTGGCCCACTTTCTAACTGGAAAGCAACCATATGGAGGGTTTAGCTGGAGCCGTGTCTGCCTGGCTGCCATTAGCGCCGGGCAGCGCTGTGGGCAGCGGACTGGGGCCCTTCGGCTTTCCCTGTGCCCCAGGACTGGGGGGCCTGGTCCTGCCAAGGACCCTCTTTCCTTCTCTCCTCTCCTTCCCCGTGAGCTCCTGACCATGGGATGGGAGTTCTGTGGGTGTCTCAGGAGAGAAGGGAGGCACTCTGTCTGCCTGGAGGAGGCAGAAAGGGAGGTGGGTGCTGGTCAGGGTGGGGGCAGGGGCATGCTGCCTTGCCTGCTGCAGAGGAGCAGGGGTGCCCTTCCCGCCCGGGGACAGGGATGTGGCAGGGTCTGTGTTGTGTGGCCCGAGGCCCGGCGGGCACCTGGCACAGAGCTGCCCCCTCTACTCCCTGTACCTTGTTCTCCACAAAGTGCCCCCACCTGGCTGCTTACTCCTCCTCCCTCTAAGACCCAGCTCAGGGTCACCGCCTCTGGGCAGCCTTCCCTGATTACCAACTCTGCCCATGGGTAGAATCTCTTCTTGGGTGGAGCTGGGTGTTGGCGCCTTTCCCATGGGGCTGGTGGGTGGGTGTCCCCCGGCACAGTGAGCCCCTTGCAGCCCAGGCCTGGAGGAGGCTGTGCAGAGGCCTCAGGTTGCCTGAGCCTGGACCGGGAGCCATTCGGAGGCCCAGGGGTGCCCAGCCACGGTGGATGGCTTGAGGCATTGGGTGGGCCCCGAAAGGCTTCTGTTTGAGGTGGGGCTGGGCCAAGACCCCTGAGTGGGGCTCAGAGGTGGGTGACGGTCTTAATAAAGGGTCTGGGTTCATTAAGAATAACCCCTCATGCTTTTCCATCAACGGAGGCCTGACTCTGCCACCATTCGGAGGCCCAGGGGTGCCCAGCCACGGTGGATGGCTTGAGGCATTGGGTGGGCCCCGAAAGGCTTCTGTTTGAGGTGGGGCTGGGCCAAGACCCCTGAGTGGGGCTCAGAGGTGGGTGACGGTCTTAATAAAGGGTCTGGGTTCATTAAGAATAACCCCTCATGCTTTTCCATCAACGGAGGCCTGACTCTGCTGCCACCAGAGGCCCTGGGGGTCTTATTCCTGGAGGGGAACACCCTCTGTACCCCAGCCAGGGGATGGGGGGAACTCTGTAGCTTTGAGCCAGCCGCTTCTCCTCTCTGAGCCGCAGTTTCCTCGTCTGTCAAATGCGGTTGATGATAGAAACACAGGCCCACCGGTGCTTTTGTACCAGGAGATCCGGGGATTAAATGAGTGGGTAATACCCATCCTCGCCAGCGCTGGGCAGTCTGGGGCTGGGGACCGGCTGGGTGAGGTGTACAGGCTCCAGGTTTCTGTGAGCTGCCAGCCTGGTGAGTCCGGCTTCTTACAGAGGAGTGAGCAAGAGGCAGGCTGGCCCTGGTCCCCTCCCCAGGACCCAGCTGGCAGGCAGTGGGACAGAGTGACAGGAGGGCTCCCGAAGACCCCCTGACCCCAGTCAGCTCCCCTGTCTGTGCCGCACCACCCCTCTTGCAGCACAGCCCTGAACAGCCTTCCCAGGCTCTTGAGCTCTCTGCTGGGAATCTGACCACAAATA